CATTGAAGTCGACAAAACTGCAACGAAAGCAGCGGAAACTCCTCGGCCGAAGCCCCCTTTCGGGATAAAGAAAAGTTTCTTATTAATTTTTGTTTTCATTTTCTGATTCGGATAATTTGCTTACACACACAGTCAGTAATATTTTGATCATATGACAAATTTTCATCAAGATACATGTACATAATTTTCTGCATCCAAATTTTTTTTTACTCTCTGTTGGTTTTTTGTTTTTTTGTTTTTTTCAATATCGAGCCTCTTGTTACATAGTTGAAGTAGTTCTAGAGCATTTGTGTCTACACTTAGTCTATCTGAAGTGTCACTTTAAAATCTGTAGTTTGAATGTAAAAGAAGTTAATTTCCAGGTTGCTGTTGACAAACATATTGTTCATTTTTAATTATTTTTTTTTTTTCAATACAACACAGTAAGTTTTTCTTTATTATTGAGTTGATGTGTATGCCTTTGGCAAAGCTAACACCTGCCTTATCCTCTAGCCTTTTCAAAATCAAAGGTGATGATACCTGTGACAGTAATATAGTACGAGATGTGTACATCAACATGTGCTTCCTACAAATAAAGACTTGTTGTTGTTGTTTTTTTGATACACTGTGGTTCAATTCGTAATAACAGCTCCGTAGTCCTGTGGTTTTAGCAGCATTTTTTGGGGGGGGGCAAGATTTTTTTTTTTCGCCCTCTCGCATTAGTTTTGGAATCTTCAGAGGATGTCATCCATAAAATTAAATCAGTGTGGCCTAAGTAACGCGTATCGAACTGTGCGGAGTTCGCCTTGTGCAGTGATGATAAGTAACGCGTATCGAACTGTGCACGCTGCTGTGGAACGCCGGTCGAGCCGGTGAAAATTCGAGAAAACAACACAAACTCAACTTTGAAGTAATCCCGAACAGCCAAATTTCTATATGTTACACACGTAAGGCTAATCTTGTTACACTGTTCAGGGGACTCTCAACAACCATCGCAAAGTACCGTTTTCTGCGGGTTTTGGGTCTTTGTTTTCACCGAGAGGGTTGCCAGTGAGGCGGTAGAAAATGCCCGGATGTCCGCCCCCCGAGGATAGGCGAAGGCAAGGTCGCTGAAATCGTCAACTGTGTTTGGATGTGTAGTCGTTTGTTATATAGATATGGAATATAGTAAAATTCCTCAAAAACATAATTTCCACTGACAGACGATTGCAGATCGAAACGACATCGACGCATCGACACATTTACGCTAGAGAAGTATTTTATTGCTAGAGGGCGCTATTTATTATAAAATGTATTGCGGTTATTTCAGCAAAACGTGTATTTGTAAAAATGTGTTATATAAATCTGTTCAACAGGAGAAACAAACGTTTTTCTCGAAAATGATCACATAATTTCATATATACGGTTCGTAAGTTTGAATGAACAAAGCAGAAGGATTTAGTTAGAATCCTTCAAATTAAATGGAAGGGCAAGCTATATACTTGGGTGTCCAAACGCGGAAAAAATCATGGAAAACAGAAACAAAGAAACAAAGTCACACCAAAAAGGTGTACACTCGACAACTCTAAGTTACCTTAAATCAGTGATATTTATTTCTTTGAATCCCGGAAGTTCTTCTGTATCATAATATGGCGTCATCTGCAATATTTAAAACAAATGCAGTAAGCCTATGATGAAAAGTCAGCTGATGAAGCACACTCCAAATACTATATAAATGATGAAAACTAATTATAGTTCCTTTGGCACCAATGTAGTATTTTGTCGCATACATGGCAATTGAAAACAACGAAGTATCAAGAAAACACAAATCTCTTGTGACATTTTTTTTTATTTTCTTTCCAGTGACGTAGACAATTACGTTTTGTTTCCAATGATAATTAGTTTTCGTTTGTTGACGTTATGAGTAATTTTCTTCATTGATCAAAATACAGCTGTGCAATGGATCCAGTGTACACGGAGTATAATGATATCAATTAACCAAATTGGCTGAATTACGAAGTAGTCATAGTGTTCGCAAAAATGAGGAGTGATCGCGAAATATTTATTTATTTATTTATTTATTTATTTATTTATTTATTTATTTATTTATTTATTTATTTATTTATTTATTTATTTATTTATTTATTTATTTATTTATTTATTTATTTATATTTATTATTTGCGTTTTTCGCAGGGAATTTGTATTAATTTCCGCATTAAAACTACGTGATTCTGTATTGCTTTGATATGCCGTCTAGTCACTTCGACCACGGACTGATGTAACTGAATAACTTTACACTAGTTTCTCACCTCGTTTATAAATTCTTCTCCGAATTGATACGAGTCATTATAACAGCTCAGATTTCTATTTTCAATTTTAATTTGAACAGGAAAAATCCATTTCAGATCTGACAAAAAGTAAACGACAGTAATGACGTAAACAAGTATATGAGACGAAAGAGGGCGCTCACATTTCTGGAAAAACGACTTAGATTGTCTGTGGTTCAAAGCGGAATGGTCGTCTCCTGCG